TTTATAAAAAATTTTATTAAATATTTTTAACTTTTAAAAATAATATTTTTATAATAAATTTTTTTAAACAAATTTCTTATTAAAAACTAAGATTCTAAATCCAATTTACTTAAAAGAGGGATAATTAAAGACTCGATCGAGGCAATGTGCAATCTTTGTGAGGAAAATGTTGAGGCCAGCAATCATTTATTTTTGAACTGTAAAATTGCTTGATTTGGTCAAATTGCTATAAATGGTGGGATGTGTGCACCGCTGCAGCAAGCACTGTGCGGGAAGCTTTTGAGCAGCACGAGGGACTCATACTTGATGGAAAGTACAGATAGGTTAATTTCACCAAGAAAAAAAAACAGATAGGTTAATTGCTATAAATGGTGGGATGTGTGCACGGCTGCAGCAAGCAATATGCGGGCGGGAAGCGTTTGAGCAGCATGAAGTACTCATACTTGATGGGAAAATACAGATAGACTAATTGCTATATAAATGGTGGGATGTGTGCACCGCTGCAACAAGCAATGTGCGGGAAGCTTTTGAGCAGCACGAGGGACTCATATTTGATGGGGAAATTCAGATAGGTGGTAACCTACATGGTTTGCAGTGGTATAGACTACTTGAAATGCTAGGAATGAAAAGCAATTTAAAAGTGGTACAGTTGATGATGACAAAATGGTTGATTTCGTGCAAGTAAAGACATCAATGGGTCAAAAATAAAGGACAGGTAAGGTCCTTCTTTATGTCAGACTGGATTATTATCTTAAGGTATGTGTTAATAAATAAATTATCGTAAATAATTAAAAATTGATAATTAATTTGAGGATAATCACTTAATTTTATATATGAATTTAAGTAGTTTTTATATTTATATAATAAAATTTTACTATTTAAAAAAAAAAAAAAAAGAAACCTTTCAAAAAAAATCCTATATTAGTGCAGCATTTCAAAGTCCCGAAAACTAAAGAGTCCATTTTCATTTATTAGAAGTATTTATGCAAACCAAACTGAACCAAACCAAACTAGACGCAACTTGTTCGTAGTTTCCCAAGGAATGGAAAATGAATTATCATCAAGTCTAAGCGTTTTCTTCTTCTCCTCCGCTTTTTCTCCTTAAATATGGCACTCCTGTGATCCTTACCGTAGGTAACACAAACACCTAACAATCTTTCTCTTTCATTGCCATGGCATCCAAACGTTAGCTTGTCTCCTCCTCTGACTCGTCATACTCCGACCAAGAGAGTTCCAGAGAAACCAGCGACTCCTATGAGTCGACAGAGAAGCAAAAACCGGCGGAAGAAAGGCACCCCGATGAAGAGGACTCTGGCTGCAAAGATGCTGGGAAGGGAAAACGGAAGTCGGAAGAAAAAAGAGTGCCGGAGGATGACACTGCATCCAAAGATGCACCCAACCATGCTGAGAAACAAAGGTCAGGAGAACAATGCCAACTGGTGAACCCAAAAGGCCACTTCGATGCTGGAAAGAAAACTCCACTGATGATCAACTCTTCCAAGCATAAAAAAAGTTCTGCTGCTATTGACTCCAATGCTTTTATCTTTCTAAAGAAATCTTCCTCACAAGTATCGAGAAAGTATCATCTAGAGTCCGAATCAGATCAAAGAAGGTCTAGGTCTAAATGGGTCAGGAAAGAATCCAATGAGGAGAACGTAATGAAACTGTTTTAACGAGTGTGGATCGAGGAAGATGAGATGAAACTGTTTTAACAGGTATGGATCGAGAAAGATAAAATTGTCATTTTCAATGGTATGATTGATTATAAGGATGAAATGAGGGAGGATATTTTTAGTAATATAGGTGAATTTTATTATTATATTTTAGAATTTGTTAGTTTTGTTTGCATAAAAATTCAGTTAGAAGGAGAAAGTTAGAAGGAGAAAATTAGAAGAAGAAAATTAGAAGGTTGAAGGATAAATATTTGAAAAAAAAAGAAGTTATTAAAGAGGAAAAGACATTTTCTCTTTGAATCAAGTTTTTCGGTTAATTTAAGAAGACATAGGGCAAACAAAAGGTGAAGAAAGCAACAGAGATGGGTGAGGAGGTGGAGCTGAAATATTAGCAGTTGGGTTGACTGTAATTGGAGGATCAGAGAATGAGGCACTGGAGAAGAGATGGAAGAGTCTACGGATTGTTGAATTGAAAGCTGAATTGAAAGCTGAATTGAAAGCCTTCTTAGTGCGAAATCAAATTGTTACTAATCAAGTTGATGTGTGATATTTTCTCACAGGGTTGTTTTCGTTTATGGGGTGCATGTTTTTATTTTGTGATGATGGACAATGTCCTTTTTGCCTAAGGATTCATGTTCTTGTCTTGTGATGCTCTCCTGCATCATGGTATTGTGATGTTATGGTACTCTGTTATGTTTTTATTTTATCAAGTTGCGCTATTTTTTGTCTTTTAATTTCTTCTGGGTGCTGCAATATTTTCTCAGATTATAGAAAACCAGTTGGTTCATCGGGAGTAATTTAGCACATGCTTAACTGCCCACCTCATGATTCGTAATGCCTTTTCTTTGTTGCTCTTTGTACACAAGCAGTTAAATGCACCAACTGATCCTATTTATAAACAAACTGAGAATTCCACTGAAGAAGATGCAAGCTGGTATGAAGGCCAGAAAAATCGATGCAACTGCTATAATGAGATGATTAGTGATCAGAAAATCTTCAATTCTGAGAATGAAAATTTATGGGAAATGTATCAGGGGAGTTTGCAAATACCCGTGCATGCTGGTCCTGCTGCTGGTAATGGATTCTTTTTTTTTTTATCGGTTTACACCGTTCATGAATTTAAGATAAAGTCATCATCCATAAAAACATGCGAGGCAAACCTGAGCATCATCAAATTTGAACAAACTCAATAACATTGTGTTGTAAGGCATTTACCGTTATGGTAATTACTTTTCTTTATTCTTATTGCCGGGGTCATTTGTTTGACTGCTTTTGGTTTTTTATT